ATTTTTGTTTAAAATATTTTGCTTGGAATCTCATCAATACGTTACCTTTGTGCACGTTCGCCTTTTGGAAATGATCTCCGACGAAGGCATAGTAGTTTTGTTATGCATCTTCGATCTACTATGGACTTGATTCAACTTTGATGTTATTATCTATGTTATCGACAGAGATATTGTCATCAACTACACGATAAATCAGAAAAAAAAACTCCCATGTGGTTAATTCTATTAAACAATGTGGAGAAATTGCAATTTCTGTCTTGAATCATACGGTATAGTTTCTGAATTTTGTTTTTAAGTTGTTCGAGTAGTTTGTCGTTTGCCTAGATCTCTTTGAAGTTGATGTCTTGAATCAGTCTTAGAGCTCTTTCTCTCTTTCATTTGATATTTGTTGTGAGATCCTACATCGGTTGGAGAGGGGGACGAAGCACTCCTTATAAGGGTATGGACATCTCTCCCTAATAGACGCGTAATGGGGAAGCCTCGAAAGGAGAGCCCAAATAGGACAATATCTGGATGAGTACTGGTTCCATGGCGTAACTCTGAAAGATGCGTTTTAAAACCTTGAGGGAAAGCCTGAAAGAGAAAGCTCATAGAGAACAATATCTACTAGTAGTGGGCTCTGATTGTTACAAATGGTATCAGAGCCAGACACTGAGCAGTATGCCAGCGGGGATGCTGGGTCTCCAAGGGGGTGGATTATGAGATCCCACATCGGTTGGAGAGGATAATAAAACACTCCTTATAAGGGTGTGGAAGCCTCTCTCTAACAGACATGTAATGGGGTAGCCTAGAAGGGAAAGCCCAAAAAGGATGTTTGGATGAGTACTGGTTTTGCTGCATAACTCTGAAAATGTGTTTTTAAACCTTGAGGAGAAGCCCGAAAAGGACAAGCCCAAAGAGGGCAAAATCTGCAAGTGGTGGGCTTGGGCTGTTACAAGTTCTGCTGTTCTCGGGAGAATGAGAGGTTCTCCCTTTTGTGGACTTTGTTTTTGTTCTTGTTTAGTCGACTTTTTATACAAAAAGAAGTGCCATCATGTTGGAACATGACTTGGGTTGAATAGTAAACAATCTTAAAGTGAACGATTAGCGTTTGTGAGTCAATGTCTTTTGGTCTCATCAACGTACAAACCGCATCCGAAGACATCTCTTCGTTTGTTTAAACGTTTCTATTTCTCTCTAACCAAATGTTCCATTCTACAACCAATAATCTTGAACATGATCCAAGGCCAACCTGAACACCTGCAAGAATCTCTCCCATTTTGTTTGGGTGAAAGGGTTCCTCCAAGGAATGTAAGCCTTGTCCTCGAACGGTAACACACCATTGTAGTCAAAGCACGAACAAGGAAGAGCTTTGGATAAAAGTCAATGGTGTTCGTTCTTTCGAAAGAATGACCATCTTCATTTTTTCTAAGTGCTCATTTTTTCAAGGAAGTTCTAAGTGTTGTAGAGAAATTACTTCTTGATGCTAGAGGGTGGGAGTGTTTTATGCCTTTGGTGTAAACAAGAACAGCTATTTTGTAGGCTCACAGTGAAGTTGATTGGAGCGTGAAACCTCCCATTCGGTCTACGTATGTTAAGTCGACTTATTAGAGTTTGCTTGTTGTGTGTTGACAGAAGCGATATAGGTTTCAATTTCTATTACATACTCCTTGATATTATCCAATTATCTTGGAAAACAAGGTTGTAGTTAGTAACAACTCAAATCCACTACTAGTAGATATTGTCCTTTGTGGGCTTTCCCTTTTGGGTTTCCCCTCAAAATTTTTAAAACGCATCTATTAAGGAGAGGTTTCCACACTCTTATAAAGAATGTTTCATTCTCCTATCCAACCGATGTGGGATCTCACAATCTCTCCCCCTTTGGGGCCAAGTGTCCTCGCTGACACTCGTTCCCTCTTCAATCAATGTGGGATCTCACAATCTACCCCCCTTCAGGGATCACCGTCCTCACTTGCACTTGTTCCCCTCTCCAATTGATGTTGTTCCCCTCTCTGATGGGATCTCACAATCCACCCCTCTTCGAGGCCCAATGTCCTTGCTAGCACTCATTCCCCTCTCCAATCAATCAACCTTACAATCTAACCCCCTTTAGGGCCCAACATCCTCGCTTGCACTTGTTCCCCTCTCCAATCGATGTCGTTCCCTTCTCTGATTGATTGGGATCTCACAATCCACCCCCCTTCAGGACCCAGTGTCCTTGGTGACACTCGTTCTCCTCTCCAATCAATGTGGGATCTTACAATCCACCCCCCTTTAGGGCCCAACGTTCTCGCTTGCACTTATTCCCTTCTCCAATCGATGTCATTCCCCTCTTTGATCGATGAGGGATCTCACAATCCACCTCCTTTCGGGGCCCAGCGTCTTTGTTGGTACACGTACCTCTCTTGAATCAATGTGGGATCTCACAGTAGTCATCCATTGGGCTTTTAGGAGTGGTTCCTATTTATGCAAAAAGATTGCAGTCTTAGGTTCCTCCAAACCGAAAGCCAGCTTTAACCACACTTCTTATCGCTATCATAAACTAATGACCTATAGCTCTTCTCTAGGTAGGAGGGTGAGGATTCGAAGCATAGTAAAGATCTAATAATGACATGATTGAATGAAGCAGCAATGTTGTTCACAGAACACTGAATATTTTCTGGTTAAATAAGGTTGTGTAGCACTGTTATTTTTCTTCGTTATAAAATATGTTCGGATGTTGCAGGGTCATTTCCAGATATTGTGCTTGTCTGGTTCTTACTTGGTGGCTGAAGATGGCGGTCCTCGAAGTAGGACGGGCGGTATTAGTGTTTCCCTCTCTAGTCCTGATGGTCATGTTGTCGGTGGTGGCGTTGCCGTTCTTATGGCAGCTGGCCCCGTTCAGGTACTTCATGCATTCGATAACATGACGAGGCAACATGGCCTTCCATTTGAGTTCATACTTTTTCCCCATTGTTTTGAGTGAAGATAGAAAAGGGTTGAGCATATCTTATTCTCTTGCAGGTAGTTGTATGTAGTTTTGTTTATGGTGCAAAGATAAAAAACAAGCAGGTCGCTGGTCCGAAAAGCAACGACGATTCCAGAAACGAGCACCATGATAATATGGTTTCGCCTACGAGTGCCCCATCTGCCCACGCCTACAACCCGTCTCCGATTGGTGGTTGGCCCGGTTCCCGTTCGATTGATGTGAGAAACTCCCATACTGGAATTGACTTGACGCGAGGATGATGAATATATGTTGCAACATACACATGTTGATTTTGTACATATGTGTTGTTGTAAATGAACCGAACCGAACCTTGTGAGGACTGTACCGTTTACCGAGTCGACTTCTTTTTGCAGCAGTTAACATATTGATGCTAACATATGGTATGTAGCAAGAGGCTTCATTTCGAGTTTGTGGAGTCGATGTTGATTTTATTGGACAGAGTTTCGGGTTTTTGGAGGGTAAGATTGCGGGGCTGCTGTAGCGGAGGAAGTACGTTTGGTAGTTCGAGCAGGAATTTTCGATTTAATGAAAATATTAGGGAGTTATAGGACATTATGTTGTGTTCTAAGATGTAATTTTTAGTTATATATCAGAGTATTCTCTTATTTCAATTTCCTTTTTTAAAATGGTAAACAGAACTGGAATGGAATAGAAATTAGTTCTTTGTTCATAAACTTTGTACTTTTATCCATTCAATATGTTTATGGGGAATTTCATATATTTTGAATATATTCAATTAGGATTCGAACATTCATATGATTGTATCGAGCACAAAACCTGCTATGAATTCACTGTCGTTGGGATAGTTTGAAGATCGGGCATCATCGAGTAGCATTTCAAGAGAGGCATTGTGAGATCTCACATCAATTAGAGATGCGTTTTAAAATCGTGAGATTGGCGGTGATACATAACAGACTAAAGCAGACAATATTTATTAGCGGTGACCTTGGACTCGAGCTGTTACAAATGGTTTTAGAGTTATGCACCGGACGGTGTACTAACAAGAACGTGGGCCTCTAAAAGGATGAATTGTGAGATCCTACATTGGTTTGGGAACAAACTACTCCGCATAAGAGTGAGGAAACGTTTGCATAGTAGACGCGTTTTAAAATTCTTAATAGCAGGTTAAAGTAGACAATATCTACTAGCGGCGGTCTCGAGCTATTACAAATGGTATCAGAACTAGATACTGGGTAATGTGCCAACGAGACATTTGGCCTGCAAGAAAGATGGATTGTGAGATCTCACATCAGTTGGAAAGAAGAACGAAAACATTTCTTACAAGATTGTGAAAACTTTAAAATTGTGAAATTGACAGCGACACATAATAGATCAAAAGAGAACCGTATTAAAATGGGTGAAAACAGACAATATTTCATTTTATCATACTCAAACTATATATATTAAAATTTAGTAAATATTTCAAATATATCAAAATTTGGATTTTTAAAAAATATTTTTTAGAACTTATTCCAATTCCAAATGAAAGGGAACTAAAATAAAATAAAGCGAAAAAAAAGATATTTTTGTCGGTATAAAATAAATAGTTGTAGAAATTGTTTGATCCACTATTTTAAACTAATTATTTGTCATATAAACCATACTTTTATTTTTATATATTCATGACCATAATTTAATATATATTCCTATCAGACAACGTTAACTAACTTCAATTAATCATATTAAAAATTTATTAATTAATAAATTCTCTTTTAATATAAAATAACACTAAAAAATCGGAACCCACATGAACATATTTAATAAAAATACTAATATTGTAAACATAAAAACAAGCAATTTGGTACTGCAAGATTGAGTGGGTGATCATGTCACGGTCGGGACCATCAAATAATTCTGGTCTAAGTCTGGAAGCAACTGATCGGGACCATCAAATAGTTCTGGTCTAAGTCTGGAAGCAACTGATCGGGACCATCAAATAGTTCTGGTCTAAGTCTGGAAGCAATTGATCTATCATAATGAACGAGGCGACAGAAACATAACTTAATGAATAAGAAATAAGAATTCGTGTAGATGAAAACTGCATTTTCTTGAAGAATCTGCTCAGAAATTTCAATTTAGCGAGACCGAGTTCATAAAAACACGGCTACACATTTGGGATCAACAAATCCAGACAATTTCTCAGACGGATTCATCAAAGCTCGAGCAATTTATTACATAATTCTCAACCTACAGCCTTGTAAATACATGGATATCATTCAGAAACCAGACCAAATACACTGCAGCTTTAGGTTTATTCATGTGTCTAATAATAACAAGAGAAAGATACACAGCACTTCTAAGCAGCTACCAGCAGCTTCTTCACATCCTTCTGCAAAAATGCACCCAACCCCCCCACAGTTCAAACAGTGAGCTCATTGATTCTTGACTAATTGCAGTGATGGGTAAAAGAAATGAATGAAAAGACTACTCAAATAACTTGGTTTGAAGAACTATTGGATTCATTTACCTCAATGCTGAGCGGGGAAGTTGTTGGGGCGTAACGATCGACCACCTTTCCATCTTTGTTCACCAAGAACTTGGAGAAGTTCCACTTAATGCCGTCTCCAAAGATCCCACCTTTGCTCGACTTCAAGTACTTGTATAGAGGAGCAGCGTTCTTTCCATTCACGTCCACCTATTATGAAAAAGAAAATGAACTTGGGAATGCTCATCTTTGACAGTTTTTATAGCGCCTAATATCTTCCACATTCCTTGTAACCTTTATGTATCTCCATTAGCCTCATAGTTTTAAAACGTGTATGCTAGGGAGAAATTTTTATACCCTTACAAAGAATGCTTCGTTCTCCTCTACAATCGATGTGGGATCTCACAATCCACCCCCTTAGAGGCCCAGCGTCCTTGCTGACACACCGTCCGGTGTTTGGCTCTAATACTATTTGTAACAGACCAAGCTCACTGTTAACAGATATTGACCCGTTATATATCCATTAGCCTAACGATTTTAAAACGCGTCTACTAAGGAGAGGTTTCACACTCTTATGAGTAATACTTCGTTCTCTTCTACAACCGATATGGGATCTCACATCCCTTGTGTCAACCGAGTAAGACTATAATCCCAATAAAATTTTGAAGGTGTCAAGTCTATATCATAAATCTTATTTACCTTGTTAAAAATGGGGTACTCGGCCTTAAAACGGGTGCAAGCAAACTGCACAATCTCTTCATTGGTTCCTGGCTCCTGGCTTCCAAATTGGTTGCACGGAAATGCAAGAATCTCAAACCCTATAAACAGAACACAAGCGTAAATGATAAATATGAACTTAGAAGGAAAAGAAGAAAGGATGAATTGAAGCAAGAGAGAAGAGGGATTGAAGGAGCGTTAGAACAAACCTTGGTCCTTGTATTTAGCATACAGTTGGGCCAGTTCAGTGTAGTTCGAATTAGTCAAGCCACTGCAGCAATGCATCAGAAACAGAACATTAAAAAGATATAGAATCAATATCAGCTCTTGGAATCTAGCATAGACATAACTCTATACTATACATCAAGTTCATACTAAAATTCTCTTAAATCTATAATGGCTCGTGAAGGCAAGCCTTAGAAAATCTAGAAGACCTTTCATTCATGTGATTATGAATGGCAACTCAAAGTCATCATCCTACTATTTTGACTACATAGACACAACTTTTGAGACAGAGAAGGCATCATAAATCACGTTACCACTGAGACGCAACATTGACAATCAAGAGGACCTTTCCTTTGTAAATGCTGAGGTCGACATCATTTCCTCTAGCATCCTGTAAGCCGAGGCAAAAAAAAATCATTAAAACCAAAAGATTTTAGCAAGAAGTTCCAAAAAGAAACTGTAACATTATGAACATGGCGTCATTGACAAGCAGTGACAAAACAATCACATGCCTAGGAAGAAAATCAAGCAGAGCTTCACAGAAAAAGGGGATTTCCCTACTTAATTAGAAAGCAAACTCAAAACCCATTGATTCAACCAGCAATCAAAAGCATATGGAAGCAGCTTGAATTGAAGGGAAATTCATAAACAGAGATGAGCAATTGACATGATACATTCACAATGATGATACCATACCTGCAAAGCTCTCTCAAAAAAGGATGAAATTATTCGAAAGTTTGATTAAGATTACTAGTTCATATGATTTGATTACAATAACCTTAACACTTGAAAACCCCTAACAAAAGCCATTTCCCCTAAATTCCAAATTCTCAGCATTCAAAATGGGAGTTCCAACTCGACTCAACTCGATCTATAACCAAAAGAAACTCACAAAAACACGCAAAAGGAACAAGAAATCCAACCTTTACGGTGAAATCATGGACTGAAGTCTTGGAGGCGGTGGCCATAGTATGATCCAACCGAATAAACACCGAGCCAAGACGCGAAAAACCTGGATTAATTGGTGAAACGAAGCGAGATACAGAAAAACACTGCGAATAATGCAGAAGAGTTTGCTTCGAAGCGGGCGAGATTCGCTTGTTCAAAACCAGAGGTGAAGAAGATAATGATCAAACGCTGAGAAATTTCTTTCGACAAGAGAGCGAATTGAGATACAGAACATGGAGGATGCATGAACCATGAGGGCTTTATATATGATTTAGAAGACGCGTTTGACACGTGGCGCTCAATGTTTTGCCACGTTGGGATTTAGCTGGCGGAGGTTCGAACCGTACTCAGATATGAATGGACGGCTGATTTTCTTTTTTTCTTTTTCCCACTGCTTTAGTTTTCAATGTATTAATATTCTTTTATTACTTGAAATTTTAAATTACAAAAAAAATAATAATAATAAATTAAAATCTTATGATTTGTTTAAAAAATACGCTCGCATCGTAAATATTTTAAATTAATATTGGAGAAAAATACGTTAGAATATTAAGTAATAATTAGACTATATATATATTTATATATATGAATAAATGTTTTAAAAACTAAATATTACTTGAAAGAATAAAACAATTATACCTAAAAGGTGAAAAAACAAGAACAACCCGAAACTAAAATTAAAATTCAAATAATTATGCTCGTTAACAAATAACTTATTATAACGATATACATTTCTTTTCTTATTATAACTAACAAACAGAAAATCGAGGCAAACTCTGAATACTAGATATGATCTCAAAATAACAGGGGTCAAGGTCGGCCAGTGAGACGATGGGGGATAAGCTTCATCGTCGAGAGGGAAACAGCCCGGATCACCAGCTAAGGCCCCTAAATGACCGCTCAGTGATAAAGGAGGTAGGGGTGCAGAGACAGCCAGGAGGTTTGCCTAGAAGCAGCCACCCTTGAAAGAGTGCGTAATAGCTCACTGATCGAGCGCTCTTGCGCCGAAGATGAACGGGGCTAAGCGATCTGCCGAAGCTGTGGGATGTAAAAATGCATCGGTAGGGGAGCGTTCCGCCTTAGAGGGAAGCACCCGCGCGAGCAGTGGGATGTCGGATGTATTATTAAGCGTGTTTAGTTCGAAATAATTTTATATTGGGTGATTTCTTATAATATATAGACAACTAGATAATGTGATTATGTTATGTTATAGAAGAATGTCGGATGTATTATTAGGATTTTGGACAAAAATATATTATTATTTTAAAATATAAAAATGTGGGTTAATTTTTATAATAATTATTATTTTAGATGGAATTTTAATTTGGTTGGTCATTTGTGTGTGAATGAAATTAAGATTCCCTTTTCGTCTTTTTTTGAAATAAAAAACGTATATAAAATACTTATTGACATCATAATTAGAAAATGCGTCAATATTGACGGCTGGATTACAAAAGTCAACGATCTATAGTTTCTAGAACCTTCTTAATTGTCATGGATGAGCTATGGGAATCAAACTTTCTCTCTCTACACTTTTATTTATTTTTAAATTTTAATCCTATTTTTTTTCTTGTTAAAATTTTAAAAGGTCTATATTTATATATAAAATTGTAAGATTATTGTATTTTGATTCATATGAATTTTTAAAATGTCTTTTATAAATAAAAAATAATTATATTACTCTTTAATTTAATTTTTTTGTTTGCCAAATCAAGCGGATTCTTGCCAGTCATTTTTCATTAGAACAATGTTTGCTGCCTCAATGACAATGTCTGTGTCGGCTTTGATTGCCATCCCGACATCGACAGCTACAAGGATAGGTGAGTCGTTGATCCTGTCTCCGATCATTGCCACCGTGTGTCCCGCCATCTGGTCATGTCAAAGCCAACCGTCTAATTTGTCATTTGGTTTGCAATGTATGCTCTTTAGTCTCAATTCTTCCTCAGGTATAATTTGAAATATTCACTTTTTCTTAACCTTATATGTAGAACTATATATCGTAATAAGATAATAAGATGTCGTGTTGAGTTAAGGGTGATGTTATATGTGAGATCCTATATCAGTTGGAGAGGAAAACAAAACATTGTTTATAAGAGTGTGGAGACCTCTCCACATGTTTTAAAAGCTTTGATGGGAAGCTCGAAAAGGAAAGTTCATATAGGACAATATCTGCTAAGGGTGGGTTTTGCTTGTTACAAATGATATCAGAGCTAGACACCGGGTAGTGATCCAATGAGAATGCTGGAACTCAAAGGGTGGTGGATTGTAAGATCCCTCGAGAGTGACCATTATTCCAATTTTTTTTTTTTTTTTTTAAATGTTAAGATTGGAAACTATTCTAATAAAATCTGGCCCAAAACTAGGGATGGACCAGAAGCCCAATAGAGATATATAGAGCCCTAGTTTTCCTTCCTCTGTAAAACCCTAAATTTTCGTCTTCTCCTAAAACCCCCCTTCAACTTCAGTTTGCTCTCATGGCGTCGTCGGATTCTGTTGCCCTTTCTTCCAGAGTTCGTCGGGAAACGGCGGAGAAAGCCGTTGAGTCTCTCCTTCAATGGAGAAATTCGAAACGAGAGAAACCTCAACTCTTCGACCTGGAAGATTTTTTATACCTTGTTGTAGCCCTAAAGAAAATACCTCCCAAAGGTCGCACAAACCCATACAAAATCCCTCTCCCGCATTCCTTACGCTCCGATTCTTCTGAAATCTGCCTCATAATTGACGACAGAAGCAGGTCCAATCTTACCAAAGATGACGCCAGGAAGAAAATTCAGTCGGAGAATATCCCAATCTCGAAGGTCATCAAGTTGTCGAAGCTTAAATCTGACTACCGTCCCTTTGAAGCTAAACGAAAGCTCTGTGATTCGTACGATATGTTTTTCGCCGATGATCGGGTTATTCCGCTGCTGCCGAGTCTGTTAGGGAAGCACTTCTACAAGAAGAAGAAGATTCCGGTGCCGTTGAATTTGAGGCATAAGAATTGGAAAGAACAGATCGAGAGGAGCTGTTCATCAGCTTTGTTGTATTTGAGGACAGGTACTTGTAGTGTAGTGAAAGTAGCGAAGACTTCGATGGAAGTTGAAGAGATAGTGAGTAATGTGATTGCGGCCATTGATGGGATTGCTGAGATTGTGCCTAAAAAGTGGAGTAATGTGCGGTCATTTCATTTGAAGGTCCTGGAATCGATTGCATTGCCAATTTACCAGACAGTGCCGGAGTTGAAGTTGAAGATTGATGCAGCCGTGAAGGGGGACGAAAAGGGAACAGAAAAAGAAGATGAAGCAGGAAAGAGTCCTACTCCTGTAAAGGTTAGCAACAAAAAAGAGAAAAAGTCGAGAATGAAAAAGGGGAGGATACATGAAGTTCGCTACATGGACAGTAATGGCGGAGAGTTGTCTGATGAAGATGACCTGAACGGTGATCTTGATGAAGACATGGATAATGCTGAGGTTAGTGAGAATCTCAAAAAGGGTAGTGATGAATTGAAGCGTAAAACACGGAGTAGAGTGAACAAAGGAAAAGAAGAGCTCCAAAATGACTTGAGTTCTGAGAAAACATTGAAGAAATCAACTGGTGTGAAGAAGGATGACAGTGTCAAACAAAAAAAGGATAAGATATCTACAAAGAAGGATGATAGTGTCAAACAAAAAAAAGATAAGGTGGCTGCGAAGAAGAAGGATGGAGGTAATATCAAGCAAAAGGAAGATGAAGATGAAGGATCTGCTGGGAAGAAGGTAAAAAAGAGTGGGGTTTCGAAGTCGAAAGCTGCTGATGGAACAAAGGTGAAGACAAAGAAATTGAAAGCGATGAAGTGATTGTTAGGGATTGATGAAGCTTGAGGAGCTCTAAAGGGATTCTCTTCTTCATGATCCAAGTATGCTTACACATCCCGCTTTTTAGGTGGCAAGTTTTGAGTATCTCTAATCGTTTTCCATTTTTTCATCATGTTTGGAAAATGAACTGATTGATTTATATGTCTACGTCTACTGTCTGTTCTTAGTTAAAGAAATTCTGAAATCTTAATGTTTGCTCTTTACCCGTGTTAAAATGCTTTCGTTTCTTTACAATTAGTTTTACCCATCGATTGAATCAGACATTATTACCCAGTAATCTTAGCCTCAAGTCAACTTCATAGCCCAACAAAACTAGCAAAGTCTTGGTGTTTTACCTGTTAGAACAAAGTGTAGAAGAGCAATCAGTCACCACTGTAAACTGAAAAGACTATTCTAGTGACGAGATGGATGTTCTTGTAAAGAAGCAGGGAGAGGAAGAGTGAGTGATGAAATGGGTAGAGCTAGAATAGAACATGGGTTGTTGATGGATTAGAAATGGGCTACTGGGATTGGAGTTTTGTAAGGACTGATTGACTATTCCTAGAAAGGTTAAATTACAAATTTCGGCTAATTTGGTTTTAAAAGTTTGGATTTCATCCTTTTGGTTTAATAAAATCTCATAAATAGTCTCTACCGAGTCTACCGATTGAGTACGTGAGACACCCTAGAATCTAAGATGATGATAAATATAAAGAAAAGTAAAAGCGTTCAAGGCCCTAAACCCAGAATTACTATCTGAACCCGTTGGCTCAAACCCCATTGATTGCATTTTATATCCTGTTACCCTAGCTACTTAACTAATATTGGCACATTGATAGCTAACTGTCACGTACTCAGTTTGTTAGTGACTTCTAATGGTAGAGACTAGACTATTTATGTGGTCGGATCAAATCACGAGGAACAAGGACTCGTTCTAACTCGTTCAAGATATGAAATTTAAGGTTTTAGAAATGAGTGTGGATAGAAACTTGTGAATTCTGGGGAAGAGCAACACCTGCAACCAAGAAATCAACCCCCAGCCTAATCAAGAAGAAGGGAGAAGAGGAATTATTAGGGGGATTAAATTTAGATGGGGCTGTTAGTTCTCCCAGCACCAGAAGATATGTTGCTCGAAATTAGCCCTCGAAACACACTTAACCATCTTCAACCAACCTGGAGAAGAACACTACAGTGCAGGAAGAAGTTGATTTGGTAATAAGAAGTTTAGCTTCCATCTTTATCTGCAGCTCCTTTGTTTCTCTTCTCTTTCTTCTTTGAACCCGACCTCAACCTGTGAAATTTATACATTACAACGACATACCGACAACGTCGAACCATTTAGTTTTTCCATTCATTCTTCCCCCTATCATCTAAATTCTCTCTTCTTGTTCTTTTTCAATGATAGATGAAAGCTTACAGCCAACTAATTGGAACTTCATGGTTTGGAACTGTCTTTAAGATTTATTTGAGAACTGTTTTTAAGATTTCTTTGAGGTACGAGAACTAAATATGGACGTTCTGAAAATATAGACACTGATAAACAACGAAGTTTAGAAACAAAAATGACGTTTTAACTAATAAATATATAATGAAATCGAAGCGTTAGAAAATTATCCGTATGAAGTGAACCAAACCAGCAAAAGAGATGAACTTATAAAGTAATGAATATGTTTTTTTTTTTTTTAATGTTTTTATTGTACTAAAAATCTCTAATTAAGAAGAAAAAAAAGACTTTTTTTTTTTTTTTGTGTGTAAAATTTTCTAGATAGGCTCTCAAATAATTAATATTTTTAATGATATATTTGAAAAGTTTGAAGATTACAGATTTATTATATATCTAATAAGACTCTGAATTTATTTGAAAAAAAAAATAGGTACATTTAAATTTGATAGATTTATTAAATTAAAGAAATTAAAAGGCACATTTAATAAAATTCTTGAAAAAAAAAGTTCGAGTGAGGATTCAATTTTAATATATATATTTAAAGGTTCGATGAAATTATAATAAATATGTCAAAAAAAGAAAATAATTTTTATTAATCTTTTGCGATATTAAGTTCAACCCGACGACGTTTAAGCTTTTTCCTTGCTCCAATTTTTTTTCTAGGGTTTTAGGGTTTCAATTAGGCATCAAACCCCCATCACTTGCTACAGGTATTCAGTTTGTTCTTCCTCTTCTTCTTGCGACAATGGAGAGCCCTTCTCCGGCTTCATGCTGGAGCAATGTCGTGAAATCTCAGCCGCCTCCGAAGCCTCAGCATCAAACTCCGACCTCCTCCGTCCAAGTATTCGCCGATAGCTGCAAGTCCAGTCAAGGCGTTGCTGTTGCCGTTGTTGATGCCAACGCCATTATCCAAGGGGGAGAGAAGCTTTCCACCTGCGCGGATAAGTTTGTTTCCGTTCCTGAGGTTTTGGATGAGGTTCGCGATCCTGTGTCTCGCCATAGACTCGCCTTCGTTCCCTTCTCTCTCGAATCCATGGATCCCTCTCCTGAAGCTCTCAATAAAGGTAGACTTCCAAATTCTAGTCCCTCTCTGCTCCTATGCGCTGGCTGTGTTGTTACTTGGAAGTTGAACAGGTTGTTGTTTATACAAGAAACGATCGGATGAAAGGTTTATAAGCTGTACTACCATTAGTGTGTGTTTGGATGGTTTTGAGAGCAATGTTTAAGTGCTTCGGAGTTCTTTTTTTAAGTGTTTCTAAAATTTTCAGAGTCATCTTGGCTTGCTAAATTTTATCTTTCGAGAATTACTTTTATTTGGATTAAATTTTCAGAGTAATTTTTATGTGTTTGTAACTCTGGCCTCTTATTAGAAAGAAATGTGAAGCATGCAAATTATAGTCTGCATTGTGGTGGCCTTTTGAAATTGGTCTTACTAGATACGGTCTTGATATCACCGTGTGCATTCCTAGTTTCCACCGTCATAATGCATTTTCTTTTGAATCTTACAGTAATCAAGTTTGCAAGGGCAACTGGTGACTTACAGACGCTTTCAGATGTTGATATTAAACTTATTGCCCTCACTTACACGTTGGAGACTCAGATCCATGGAACCAAACATCTCCGTGAGTGTCCTCCCCCTGTCCACATGGTTAATACAAAGAGGTTACCTGAGAAAGACATGCCGGGGTGGGGCTCTAACGTTCCTAATCTTGAAGAATGGGAAGCATTAGAGCAAGATGCTGATGCTCCGTCCAATTCCACATCAAAGATTCTTCCTTTGCAGGATTTAAACTTGAACATCATCCCTTCAGATGGTCAATCTGAAGATCTTTCACTAGAGCCCAATGATGGGAATTACTTGGAGCATCAAGATGAAACTGAGAGTGGATCAAGAAGATCAAGGAGATATCCTCCAAAGAAGCAGGAAATTAATATTGTAGGGAAGAAGATGGTGGCTGATGGAATTGATGCATCTCAGGGACAATGTGATGATAATGAGGGTGAGTGGACACCTGCCGTCAGTCGAAGTACTCAGAGAAGATATATTAGGAGGAAAGCCAGACGTGAATATTATGAGTCCTTAGCTGAAAAGGATGGTCTGCAAGATGTTGAAACCACAGATGCTGACATCCAAGTGGAACCTAAGAGTTCAGGTCAATCACAGGATAAAATCTCTGAACTGCCAAATTCTGGAAATTGGAATGAGAGTCAGATAGAAGAAGGGACAAACAATAATGAGAACCTCTCACAAATTTTGAAGCAGATGAGGCTGGAAGAAGATTCAGTAAATGATGCCCTTCATGTGGAAGGGCTTGGCACTTCCACGAAAGAAGAATCTGATGAAATTGAGGTGGAGGATGCTGTGGCTGTTGAAGGCACGGATTATACAGTAAAGGATGAAATGGAACACATAGAAGACTCGAGTCAGACTAATGAAAGTGTAGACACGTCAAATGTAGATGATCTTAGCAGTGATCAGAGTTGGATGCTCAGATCCTTGTCTGAATCAAGTGTAGCATGTGTAACTGGTGACTTTGCGATGCAGAATGTTCTTCTGCAAATGGGTTTACGATTGTTGGCTCCAGGGGGAATGCAGATCCGGCAACTACATAGGTATGTATATTTAGTGGGTGATTTGATATTACGTGGTCCTCCAAATTTTGTTAAATCATCACCAATTACCAATTGTTTATCAAACTTGATATTCAAAAATTACAACTAAATCATTCCTTTTCTGACCCACCTTCTAAGTTCTGAGAACCCCTCAACAATCTTCTTTCCAACCGATGATTTAGAAATGTTCGTTTTTTCTTACTCAAGCCAACCTTCAGGCCTATGAGTCAGTGTTAATTGCCTTGTATACTGGTCGAGTAGTTTGTTTGAGATAAATTCATTATGTTTAATGCGATTACACACTCAAATTTCACAATGTGTTGCTCAGGTGGATTTTGAAATGTCACGCCTGCTACAATGTCACAGCTGAAATTGGAAGGATCTTTTGCCCAAAGTGTGGAAATGGTGGAACTTTACGCAAGGTAGCTGTTACAGTTGGCGAGAATGGAGTTGTATTAGCGGCTCGTAAGCCAAGGATCACTCTGCGAGGCACAAAAGTGAGTATTTCTGATCGTTGCCCTTCAGAATTATTTAAAATTTCATTCACACTTTTAATTGTCTTTCTCAATGCTCATGTACTTACATATATTCGCTCATGAACAGTATGGTAGTCAATGGCTTGTTTTATATTTCAGATCCCTTCTCCCACAAAGCCGTTGATTAAGCATGGTTTCTAACCTTCTAGAAATGTGTGTTTTCCTTTTACGTACAGTTTTCACTTCCTCTACCGCAAGGTGGAAGAGATGCCATTACCAAAAATCTTGTCTTACGTGAAGATCAACTCCCGCAGAAATTTCTTCATCCCAAAACCAAGAAGAAAGTTAATAAGCAGGTTATTTTCCAATCAAAATTGCCTCACTCCAGTCTATCTTGGTTTATTTATGATCAGATTTTATTACATCACCATAACTTCATAGCCAAGTAGTAATCTCCATATTTCATTTTCAGGGAGATGACTTCTATCCCGTGGATAATTTCTTCAGCCACCACAATACTGATAAGAGGGCTCCTCTGCAGCCTCCTGTAAGGCAGGCTTTAGCAGTCTTTAATGGGAAGAGAAATCCGAATGATAACCATTACTCCCGATCTAAGCATAAGTAGACCCAAGTATTTATGGATTTCATGTTCATTACAGTTTTCATAACTACAAATTTTGATGAATATCTTTTGAGATTGGATTAATTTATTCAAATTGATAAGCTCAGCTTAAATGAGTTCAATTTTGTCCTGAATTTCCTTCAAAATACTTGTTCGATGTTACTTTATTTGTGAATATGTAATCCCAATAACATTTTTGGTAAATATTTGGTTTCAGAATCTACCTCAAGTTATGTATAGTTCAACTAGTTAGGGTATATTCTCGAGTATCGACTAAGAGGTTAAACCTTTGAAGCAAAGGGGAAAGCGAAACAGCAGAGAACAAATTTGTTCAACTTCTTTGTTGCTTTGTGATTAAATGACACTCTGATTAGAGCTATTACTTTTGATGCTAGGACTTTGAAAGCTTTTGTGATACAGCCTGCGTTTTAGGATTGAACATGTACAACGAATTTAGAAACTTCAAAAAGCTATAAAAAAAAAAAACAAAAGAAAAAGGGGAAAATTAGAGTATTACAACTTTTGTATATGTCAATTTGTATGTGTACCTTCACTACTTCTATGAGAGTGCAAGCTCTGCCCATGCCAAAGAAGATGACTTAAACTCAATGGCAACAGATGTGTCAATTCTAGTTTCTAACATGGTGCAGACCTCCTTCATCGATAGCGATTTCGGCTGCTGATAGATGCAGAGGTTCACCACCTCACAGATTACCTCGAGGTCTTCGTATCTAAAATGCTTCAGTTCGGGATCGACAATGTAAGCCATCACTTCTGGCATTTCAATGTAGTCCTTGACCTGTATCAGAAAAGTTTTGAGTACCAAAGCAGGTACACTTTCAAATATTGACTAATCCACAACTGGTTTCTTACCCAATCTACCAAGTTTCCTTTGACTTTGCAGTACAGAGGCCGCCCGCTGATGATTTCAAGTAGAAGGATGCCGAAAGCATAGATGTTACCCTGCACGTCGAGATGTCTTGCTTCTAGAGAGTTTGGAAGAACACATATCGCACCTTGGCTACCGATAGCGCCCGAATTCTTTTCCGATCGTGAAAGAATCGTCTTCCAACTTTCAAAGTCTATCAGCTGAAATTCAAGACAATTTCAAATACTCTTGACTACTTAATCTCCATCTTAAGAAAACAATGACTTCAGAGATTCACCTTTGGAGAAAAATCATCCGTAAGATATACAGCATTGGAACTCAGCTCAGAGATGGTGAATGGAGGTTGGAGCTCGGTATGAAGATACTCGAGTCCACGACCGATGCCTAAGATAATCTTCATGCGTCTCGTCCAAGATAACTGAGACGCTTCTCCATCTGCAGTCACTGTATGACAGTAAACAACAAGAACATATGAGAAGAACCATGCCAAATCAGTAACAAAAGTAAGAAACAAGAAGAAAATGTTGGGTTACAATGTAGATGCTCATATAATGTGCCATTTGATGCATAATCAAAAACCAGCATCCTCGTAAATGGACTACTCTCACTGCAATAACCCAGTAATTTCCCTGTATTCTCGTGGTTGATTCGCGCCAAATCCGCTACCTAGATAGATATTCGAGATGAGATCTTAACTCGAAAATTGTCGACAAGCAAAATCAATTCCTCGTCGTTGATTAAAAGAAAGCAAAAGAAACAATACCTCCGTCTGAAAATAGAGTTCGAGGTATCCTGTCCATTGCTCTTCTTTCATGCTCATCGAGATAACCGCAATCTCGGGACCAGTTTTCATGGTGCCCTTGTATACCAAACTGTCCTGAGATGAGCCAATTATGTTGCTGAAATCTTCACAAGCTAGTTCGAGTTCTTGTCGACTAAATCTCGTTACATCTTTCAAAATCTCAGGATCTGCATAAAAAACCGCATTAACATTGCTATCTTTTTCTTCCTAAAAACATGACTCTGGATGAATAAATGAAGCGTTTATCGACACATGCATATACACTATGATTATAGAGGTCGATACTTCCTATCCACTGCAAAAGACGAGGATAACAAACCTATATAAACCGGAGCGTAGTACTTCCTACTTCCAGCTTTCTTCCATGGCAGTATGATGGAGGATTTTCTATTGAATTTCTGGACTGCAGTAAGAACAGCAACAAGGAACAGAGAACCCACCAGAGTGCCTGTTACTATCTCAAGGGCCAAAAGCCAGATAGGTTTCGACGTTGTTTCGTGATGGTTCTGCTCGTTGCTTCCCGGATGGCTCTTAGTCTTAACTGGTCATTAAGAATCAATAATAGCATGGCAATCAGTACTAGTTAAAGAACAAGCTAGAAATTACAAGATTTCAAATCAGATGTTCATTTTCGCTTCAGTTACGAGCAAACTATGCAACTACGACAAATGCCACGCACCACATTGAGATGAAGGACGTTGTTTTGGGTTACTGTTATTGAGGCAATTCCCTAGGAAACTTGACCTGCAGGAAGTGGTTCAAAGATGGAACTGAACTATCAATTCTAGAATGAGAGAAAACTAAGGAGGTACCTTGGGATATACCCCAAGCATTTCGGTATGCTCCCGACAAAAAAGTTATACGAAAAGTCGGCAACTCTTAGCTGAGATGAGCCACAAAATCCAGTCAAGTCCATGTTTGACGCATTGTACCTGAAACATGAGTAGAACATCTGTAACGCCCCAAGCCCACCGCTAACAAATATTGTCCTCTTTGGACTTTCTCTTTCAGACTTCCCTCCAAGGTTTTTAAAAACACGTCTGCTAGGAGAAAGTTTCCACACTGTTATAAAGAATGTTTCGTTCTCTTCCCCACCGACGTGGAATCTCACAATCCATCCCCTTCAGGGTCCAGCGTCCTCGCTGGCACTTGTTCCTTCTCCAATCGATGAGGAGCCCCCCAATCTACCCCTTTCAGGGCCCAGCGTCCATGCAATCACACCGCCTCGTGTCCACCCGGGCCTTAGCCTCCATGCTGGCACATCGCCGGATGTCTGACTTAGAGAGCATTTGTAATGCTCAAAGCCCACCACTAATAGATATTGTCCTTTTTGGGCTTTCCCTTTCAGGCTTCCCTCCAAGGTTTTTAAAACGCATTTGCTAAGAGGAGGTTTCCACACTATTATAAATAATGTTTCGTTCTCCTCCCTAACCAACCAATGTGTGAACTCAAAACATAAGGCAAGCAAAAATGAAAGGAGTTCGAGCAGAGAAGGGCTATAAAAAGAACCCCTTAAAAGAGAATGGCTATGACAAAAATGGCTAGTTAGTCAAATCCTTCCATGGAAACAAAGTCCACTTACAATCCAGTATGATCTGAATGGTCACCAGCAGCAACAGCTCCTCCAAGCTTATTTCGATCCAGCCTTAGTTCCTCAAGGTATCTCAAATTTCCCAGCTCAGGAGGCAGCTTACCAGTGAGCCCATTAGACTGGAGGTTTCTGCCACCACAGCAAAGGAACAAACATTAAAGAAACCCATTTATGGAAACCACAGAGGAAGAGGAATTGACCATACATTTTCACAACATTGGTTAAGTTCCCAAACTCAGAAGGAATTGGACCAGTGAGTTGATTCACCCCTAAGTCCAACACTCTGAGGTTCTTCAAGCACCCCAACTCCTTAGGAACTGGACCAAGCAGCTTATTCCCATGCAAAATCCTACACCCCATCACACAAAAATGCACTTAAAAGAAGAGACCTCTTCAATGTTTTCACTTCCCAGTGAAGTGGAAAATGACTTACAGTTCATCCAGGAAGCTGAGCTGACCCAAATCTCGTGGAAGAAACCCTTTAATGGCAGAATATGAAATGTTACTGTAAAAGAAGAGTTCCAAAACATAAGCCTGTGATAGTTCTAAGAAAATATTGGGAACTTTGAATGGAAGTGAAGCCATATCTAACATCTTTGAAACATGGTCCCTATTGGGAGAACACGAAATGCCAGACCATAAACAAGGATCTTCATAAAGGCTGTTCCAGTTGGAGAAGACTTCAAATGGATCTTCAAATATTTCTAACCTGAAGGCCATAAGAGCCGACACTAAACAAAACCAAGAAACAAATTCTCAGTAAGAAAGGATTTAAACCACTTTTTGTTCCTCACAAGATCGTTAAGCCAAAATCCACTTCTAATTTTAGCAGTAGCTTGACTAATCCAAAACATAAACACAATAATCTGTACAGCAAACATCGGAGCAAGCAGATTTCAACAGTTTTTCTTTCCAGAAATTACCATTTTCTTGAAACAGCGAAGAACATAAAGATACAAGATCTAAGAAACCAAGAGATTAAGGGACAGAAGAACACATACCTTCATTAGAAGAAACAGAATGAGAAGACACAAAAAGAACCCCCAAATTCAAACAGAGAAGCAGCACAAGAGAATCAAACGATTTCATGTTCTTCTCTCAGTTTTCCACAAGAAAATCAAGTTTCAGGGGCAGTTCATATCCAGAAGAGCAAGATTGAAACAAACCCAGAAAAAATGGGAGAAGGGAGAGCAAAAGGGAACCCGAAAAAGTGGAAGAAGAAGCAATAATCCAGTTGAAATGGAGGAATTAAGTGATATTGGAGAAAATTTTTGGTTCCAGAGAATGAACTGAGAAGAAAAAGAAATAAAGGGAAGCAGAGAAAAAGGAAGTCTAAAGAAATGGATTGAACAAAAGGAGCAAAGCTAAAGTGTGAGTGACAGATAGATGGCAATACAGAATGTTTTGGATTTAGGATTTTTCCCTTTTTTTTTTTTTTTTTTTTTTTTTTTTTTTTTTTTTTTNTTTTTTCTCTCTTCTAATTTTGAAAACGGATAAATATTAAATTTAAATTATCATACTTTCAATTATTTTTTTAATAAATTCCTAATAAACTTTAAAAATAAAATTTTTAAATTTTTAATGCGCTCACATCTCACACATATTTAAATATTTTAAAAATTAATTAATCAGTAAATTTCAAAAATTTTAATTTTGTGTCTAATAAAAAAATATTAAATAGGTAAATTTTAAAATTTTAAAATATATTCACAAAGTAAATAAAAAAAAATTAAGAATCTTGAAATTCAGACACATTAATAGCAATAAATAAATAAATATATATTAAAGAATTCTCCTTTTTATTTTTTAATATATTTTGATGCCTTTCAAAAAGAAAGCAAATTATTCCTTGGATCATAAGAAAAAAAAATTGTCTAAAAAAAATGGAACAATCAAACAAATTTAATAATTTTTACTATTTAAAATATTTTGAAAACGAAAATAATAAAATGGAATTGTTTTTAAAGCTTTTGTATTACTAGTTAAGCATCAAAGAACGAGGAGTGAGATTCTCGAATAAAAGATAAGGAATCTCAATCTCGATTCTTTTTTTTTTTTAATTATCGGTAATATTTAATTTTTCGCCAATTTTATAAAAAATTAATAATTTTTTATTCATTTTTATTAAAAAAAAAAAAATCAGATTTGACTTATAATTGAGATTGCTATAATTTTTTAGTAGAAAAAAATAGAAGATAGTGTTTGTGAAAATTAAAAAAGAAAAATAATTTAATTTAAAAATTAAATTATATTCGTCACAACCGGCTCTATCTATATTTAGTTTAAAAAGCACATTAAACATATTTTTATTTATTCTTAAAAAAACACATATTTCACAACGGTTTTAACAATTTCAAACGTGTAAAAAAATATATAATTGATTAAACATATATCTAGGTGGAAATTCCAAGTCATAAAAAAGGTGGAAATTAGAAGGAAAATAAAATGAATAATGAAGTTTGGTCGTGCCGACTTCATTTTTATTTTTCATTTTCATTTTTTATTTTATTTTATTGATTTTTTTAATATAATTGCGTGTGTTGTCGGCCAAAACATTAATGCATAAATAAAATAGAAAAACAAAAACAAAAGGAAATAATGTTCTTAAAAATAGTGAAAAAGAATAAAGAGACCAAAACGACGACGTATTCACTTGATAATAAATTAAGCAATAAATCAAAAGAAAAATAATGAAATATAAGAAATATAAAAATTAAAGTTTGTGTAATAAATTAGTGCATCAAGTTTTTGTCTTAAACTTTGTCCTTTCTTTTGTTTTAAATTCATTTAATTATTTTAATTCTCTTGTTTTGAAAAAAAAAAAAAAAAAAAACTATTATTAATCATTAATGTTATTTCCATTATAGCTATTTACACTCAGTTAATAATATACGATGGTCACATTACTTGCTCCTCGCTTCTAAGACGGAAAACTATTCCCCCGAACCAATCGAGTCCTTTCCAAGAGGCTAGCATCTCCCGAGACATGATCACATAATTTACTCATTCACGGACCAACACGAGTCATTTTCAAAAGGTCAACATCTCTTGTAACATAGTCACATTACTTACTCCTCGCTTCTAAGAGTAAAAAATATCCACATAGACCAACATATAATTGCTCCAAGTAAAACACGTTTAACTATGAAGTTTCTATGATTGAACAACAAAAAAGGAAAATGTATCTTATTGGTATACATAACGGCTTTCAAATTTTTAAAACATTTCTTAATCATCGTCGCTCTCGTTCCGATGTGATTGAGTCAAAGATTGTTTTTTTTTTTTTTAATTTATAAATTTAGCATTTTTTAAAAGTAAAGGTAAATGCAAATGTGTTTTTATAATATTAAAAAAATTACTTTTAAGAAATACTTTTTTCCAACAAAACCATTGATTACTGTTTGACTTTGATAAAGTAATCTATATAATATTATTTTATGTGATAATCATTAATTTACATTAATTGATGATTAATTTAGATACTTACACTAATTAATTTAGTATTAGACTTGAGTCCAGACTTAATAATGGATATCCCATATATAAAATCAGTAATAATTTATTATTAATATCCCTTTATTATATTTAATTATATTTTTATTTTTATTTTATCTCTTCATTATGCTAAGTACAAACTATTTTTGTATTGGACACATAAATGTAGGCCCATGGGCCTAAGGCCTTCATAATTCCTAGTCCAATCATAGGGATCCGGCCCATTGGGCTTTCTCTTATTATAGCCCAACCAAAGTTTTCATTACATTTTTTTAAAAGAAATATTATATTATATTTTTATTTATAAAATAGAAATTATCAATTAAAAATTCTTTACAAAAAAATACATAAAAAGATTAAAAAAATAAATTTGACTTATTTACAAAAAATTTAATGAAAACAAATATGCATATTATTGATTAAAAAAATGATTAAATATTTATTTATTTAATATATAGTTGGAGTAAAAAGAATAATAATAATAATAAAATGAAACAAACATTAAATAAAAACAAAAAATCAGAAAACATGTTTCATGGGATGATTTTATGTTGCTGAAAAAAAGGAAGACTGGAAAATAATTTATTTTTGTCGTAAAAATATAAATAATGCCAGCTGTTGTTACAAATTTTAAGTGGTTCTATTGACATTTGCCAGTGGACCCCACGTCAACAAGCGGGTCCCATGTCCACTAAGTATGCTTCCCTGTAATCCAGCCTATTCCAGTTATTATTAGAGCACACGTGGGGCCCTAACTAATTTAGCCCTAAATTTGTAGGGATCAGATTCTCTCAGCTCAATTGTCATCAGATATTGTCATATTCTATCCGTTTTAAAAATGAGTGTGGTTGATAGAAGTTTCTACACCCTTATTAAAAAAACTCTAACTAATGTGAGATATCACAATCCAACCTTCTTTGGACCCAGCATTCTCGCTCTCTCTCCAAACGATGTGGGATCTCATAGTAATCTTATTCCTGATCCTGTTTACCTTTTTTCTTGTCAACTCCTACCGCTCTCTCGATTGTTTCTTCTCTTGATATAATTCCTACTTTTTCTCTCGGGTTCTTTCTCCTTATTTTCTTCCTCTCACTCCTTATCTCGATTAAGTGGTGGGAGAGAATATATGGTGCGAGTGCATGAGGACAAATAAAGAATGAGAACAAAAAGAAAAAGTGTAGAACGAGAGTGAGAGAGAACATGGAAGCGATAGCGAGAGACTAAGAAACAAAAGCAAGAATGAATTGAGAGTTAGAGTACAACAATAAAAGGATCAAAAATAATTGTGAACTTAGAGAATCAAATTATCCATATTAAAATGATTATTAATATTTTATATACTATACTATATTACAATTAAGCTTAAAGAAGAATTAAATAAAAAAATTTACAAATCTGTAATTTAATATGTAGTAGAAAAAATATTATAAATCAAATAATTGACTTCTTTTAAAATAAGTTCAAGTATTTTAAAATTTAAATAAAAATTGGATTTATGTTTAATGCCATATTTTATTAAAAAAAATCAAAAAAACAACATAAATTAATAAATTAATATAGTTTGAATTAAAAAATAAAATATTAAATTATTAAAAACACTAAAATTTTATATAAGTTGATTTATATGAAATTAATATTATTAAAACAATACATTATTTCAAGACATTATCATTAACAAAATAATAATAATAATTTAATTAATTAATCTTCAAAAAAACCAGTCAGAGCATTTATAACTTTAGACATCTAAAAATTTTAATTCTTCTGATTTTTAGTGTGATGTTCTACAACGATAACGATTAGAGAAGAGAACAAATCTCTCTCTGATAGACATGTTTTAAAATCGTGAAGTTGATAACGATACATAACAAACCAAAGCGGACAATACTTGCTAACAGTTGGCTTGAGGCTATTACAAGTGGTGTGCCAACAAGGTCTCATATTAGTTGGAGAGGGGAACAAATCTCTCCCTAGTAGACGCATTTTAAAATCCTGTGAGATTGACGGCAACACGTAACGAGTGAAATTAGACAATATCTATTAGCAGTAGATTTAGACAGTTACACCCAAAATAACAAATAAACTTTTATAGCTACGGACCCAAAATAACAAATAACAGTTGACGTGATTTAGACATAGATGAATTGATGACAAGTTTATGAGCACGGACCCATCAAGTTAAAGAGAGGCATGTGAGACAAATTCTAAGAACCATACGTTTAAAACTTTTTTCAATTCTTAAAATTTGGATTTTTTTTTTTTTTTAAAAAAAACATTATCCCTATATTTTTTAATAACTTTTAAATTTATTTTTATCCAAATTAACAATAATTTTCATTATTTTCACAAATTATTAGAAAATGCTGATAAGAATATATATATTTTTTTAAGAATTATTAAAATTAAATGAAATTTAAAGTACATGACAAAATAATTGTAAAAATAGATTAAAAAGTATTTTTTAAAATAAAAATTAGTAAAAAAAAAAAAAAAAAACTCTAATCTTTATTTCTATTTATATATGTATATATTTTAAAATTTATAAAACTTTTTTTTCCCAAATATCATGGACGGAAGTGGGGTTGGCAATTATTTATTGACCCATTAGTTTAATTTGGAAAAAATTAACCAAATTATAATATACTTTTTTTTTTTTAATTTTAAAAAAACATTGGAAACTGACTCATCAATAGAAGTAGTGCCGACTCAGCAAATACTAATGGCTAAGAACCCCAAGAAGAAGGGTAAGTGGAAGCTGATGTCAGCAACCCCACTTCATAATCATGATTCCCAATTCCATTTATATATATTATATATTCTAAATTCATAGTATTTAATGACCATATAATATTCTCCTTCACTACTTTTATTTTTTTAATTAATTAAACAAACATACCCCATGTGTTACATTATTCAATTTAGCCATATAAAGCTACTATATTTATAAATCATTTTGTTTTATATAATCTTTTTAAACATATTCCTTATCCTTCTTTTGTATACGTAATTGATTTTGAATTACACGTGTTTCGGTGTTTTGATTAGCTTTACTTTTAGATGCTCGAGAGATGATTAAATGGAATGGAAAGAGTCGTTGAATATAATACGTTAGCCTCTAATAAGATTTTAAAACAATTGGTTCATATCTGGGAACGTTTTCATTTGCGTTTAGAAATAATCACTATAGATAGAAGTTAGATAATGTGTGACCGATCGAGCTCATAGTGACGGTAGGATTGAAGATCAATATTTAACTATGCAGGGTCGTGGTAATCGTGAATAGTTCATTACTTACTAGGGACAGTATAGGCATCGTTAAACCGGATCCTCTACGAGTAATGAATAAAAATATTTATAAGACTCTTAAAATGGTAAAATAATAATAATTTATATTAATGATTACCTATTCTAAACAATATATAAAATTAATTTTTTGATAAATTTTATAATAAGGTTTAAGTAAATATTAATAATTTCAAATATATCAAGAAATAACAAATCAATTTTTAATTTAGTTTCATATAATAAACTGAAAAATAAATATTAATTTACATTATTCTCAAAACCTTTTCCACGTGGATTTTCTTTCTACCAAAAGAAAAAAAAAAGAGAGAAAATAATAATTATAATCAAAATCGTGTGGGGTCCACACTAAGATTTGAATATATGGAAGAATATTTATTATTCCAATGGAAATAAAAAATAAAAAATAAATATTGGACATTTTTAATCAAGGAATATTATTATTTTTAATATATATAATTATTTGTTGAGAAAAATGGAAGACATAATAATAAATGGGAAAGGTTGACAATGAATAAAGGCAAGACAAAACATGTTAGCTTATGAGACCACATAAGTTGGGAAATAAATGGACATGACATGCCCCCCTACATATTGTTGTAGGGTCAATTTTGTCCCTAGAAAATAACGCGCCTCTTTTTTTTTCATAATGAAATGTTCGGGTTTTATGGTACACACAAATTTATTATATCGTGTGAATGTCTATTCATCTTTTTTTTATTGCATTTTTTTAAATATCTAGATATTATAATTCATGTTGTTTTCGTAAAAATGGGGTTACTTGATTTTTTTTACTTTTCGAGATTGCTTATAAATGGTGGTCGTTGAACTCGTGAATAGAGATGTCAATGAGGTGGAGCTGGAAAATGACGTCCTCGTCCTCGTCTCCGTCCCTCATTTAAATTCTTGTCTCGATTGTGGGGCCGAAAAACAACATCCTCATTTTCATACTCTGTTTAAATTTAGAGAAATTTTCATTTAATTTTGTTAAAATTTTCGGTGCAAAATTTGATTATTCTCAGTTATATATATTTTTTAAGTAGAGTAATTTCTAATATCATTTTTAATTATTATTGTTATTATTATCTTAATAAAAACAATAATAATTCATATGCGAAAATATAATCAAAATATTCCATGATGAACTTGTGAGTAGATATTGTTCATTTTAGTCTGTTACGTATCACCATCAGTCTCACAGTTTTAAAACGTGTCTATTAGGGAGAAGTTTCCATGCTCTTATAAATAATGTTTTATTCATCTCTCTAATCGATGTGAAATCTCACACGTTATATTAGGTTGAAACAACGACAATGCTAGCCAAATAATAATAAATAAATAAATAAAACATATATGCAATTATTTAAAATAAAAAAAAAAAAAAACCCCAATTTTTACATTAAAAAAAAAACATTCAACAAGGGTTATGAAATTTTGGGTTGGAAAAGTTGACATTTGATTGACTTTTGTTAATAATTACTAATTTTCATTTGGGAAACAAAATTATGTTTTATTCTTTTAATAAACTTTGTTGACCCTACAAGACAAAAAGTCAACTATGTGTTCCTTTAATTATCCATTATAAGTTTTTTTTAAAAATAAATAACCTTTTTTGGGTTGATTACTTAAAATAAGTTTTTTACTATAATGTTTTTAAAAAAATTATTTAGTGGGTTATATAATTTTAAAAAAAGATGCAAACTTTATTATAGGATTAGTTTAAAAAATGTGGGAAGAAATGGACCAAATAGCTTAGAACCATATAAAATTAATTCCCATTTTTTAAACCATATTATTATATAGAAAAGCACATTTAATTGGGTGGGGGAGGAACTTGTTAAGTTAAATTAATTGTATTAATTGTCATTACACCAAGATAATATTACTTAATTACACACCAACATTGTTAGGCCTTGCCATTACACCTTTCAAAACCATTATCTTCTAATTGTTTGTGGGACTATGCTTTAACTCACCCTTATATTTTTTAATTAACATGTTGTCTGTTTTGGCTCGTACGTATCGACATCAGCTTCACAGTTTTAAAACGCGTATGTAAGGAAGAAGTTTTCTCACTCTTATAAGGAATGTTTTGTTCCTCTCTCTAACCAATGTGGGATCGCACAATCTACCCCCTTTAGGGTCCCAACGTTCTCGCTGGCACACCGGCTCGTGTCTATATCAACAAGGTGCACCTTTTTTTTATGACTCAATATAAGAGCTCAAAACTTAATCGTGCTTAGTATGAAACAATTTTATATTGGATGATGAATAAAATATGTTGAAAGCACTTGTATTGATCTATCGGGATAATTTTCACTCTTAGAAGCAATTCAAAGCGAATAGGTAACGTGGGTATGTCGCAGAGAACGCCAAAACCATCAGATAGTAAACCTGGGTTTCAAATCGTGATCGGATTCTTAATTATTATTTTTTATATAAAAAAAGAAGCTAGGGATGATTAACATCAAATTTGATTTGTCATCTTTTAATTCCTTTATTAATCTTTTCTTTGAATTATTTATTACATCAAAGATAACAATAAATAACTTAATTTATCATATCTTAAAATTTGCATAAGAATTAGTTATCCTCATCCTCAATCTACCATAGTTTTAAAACTTATAATATAATAATAATTTAAAATAGTCCATAGTTTTAAAACTTAGAATAAAGTAATAATTAAATTCAATTCACATTAATTCTTTAAAATTTAAAAAAATTAAAAAAATTAAAAACTGCGAATGGTATGCATTAAAATTAATATATAAATTTCAATTCATATCAGTCTCAATCTGATCCTTTAACTTTTAAAATTATAAATTTAGTATATAAATTTTTTATATTTATAAATAAATTTGCTAATTTTAAAATTTTTTAATTTATTAAGATTTATAAATTATGTCTTACAATTTTAATAATAAAAAATTAATAATGGAATAATAAATGTAAGAAATTTAAAAGTTAAAATGGCCGCCTTCTTTGTTAGATAAAAAGACAGCATTTTTTAATATTTATATTAATCAATTATTAATTAATTGTGTTTTGGTCTCCATACCTTTTTTTTTTAATTCATTTAAAAAAAAAACTCCCTATAAATTCTTCTCTTCCTCATTTTCACCTTCTTCATCGAACTTTCAAACCTTCTCTTTCTTCCATTTCCATGGCCAAAGTGTACCCTCAATCAGCGCCGTCGCCGTCGCCGTCGCCGTCGTCTTCACCGCTCTGTTCCGAAACCGAAACCTTCACGATTTGGATGAAATCTCTGATTTACCACACAAATGGCTGCACCGTCTTCGACTCCAATGGCGACATCGTCTACAGAGTCGATAACTACGACAGAAAATGCAGCCGCGAAGTTTTTCTCATGGATCTCAGAGGAAAAGTTCTTTTCACCATCAGAAAAAAGGTACGCCACATAAAAAGAAATTTGGCGGTTTCTGTGAGTTTTGTTTTCCTGATTTTGATGTTAAATCGTTGAGTTCTGTTCGATTGTTCATAGTTTTGGTTAAATTTCTGCAGAAATTCTCGTTTCTTCGAGGATGGGAGGGATACCGATGGATCGAATCAGAGAGAAGTATGAACCCTAGCTTTCGTGTGAGGAAATTGTACAGATCCAGATCGCGGATGAGGAATGAATCGATCTGCGAAATTAGTGTGGGATTCGAGAGATTTTCATTGGTGAAAATGGACGGAAAACTCGCTTTCAGAATAATCAATATCAACGGAGAAGTAGTTGCAGAGGTGAACAATCTCATCTCATATCATCGAATCCGATTTCGTTTCGTTTTCATAGAATAATCAGAAATAATTTCCCTACGGATTGTAACTGATTGAAACGATATTGATTGCGTTTGCAGGCGAAACGAAAAGTTTCAAGTAATGGAATTCTGTTGGGAGATGATGTTCTGAGTTTAAATGCAACCTCTCAGATTGAAAGATCTCTGATTATGGCATTGGTGACTGTTTATGGCTTAATCCGTCGCCAAATGTAAATTTTGTTAGTTTATTTTTGAAGATCATACAAATTTTCCCTTTTCTTTCACAGATTTTAGTTTGTTTCATTTAGGTTTTTGGTTTCTTGTAAAGAATTAATGTAGAAGTAGAAGTTACCGAGGAAATACAAATAAATATTTCATTCATAAATTCTTTCTTTTTCTTTTTTTTCTTTTTTTTCTTTTTCTTTTTCTGATTTCATTCTGCCTAAAATTGTTTCATTTTTATTCTTCTAATTTGTTCCAAAATAGCATTTCTCAATTTGTTCTAAAATATCAGCTATACATGTAAAGCAATACTGACACAAATAATTTATTTTAAAAAGTAAAACAAAAACATTTTCATAATCACAAACAACTATAGGCTCGATTTATATGTTTATGAACACCCTAAACTAGACATGTATGTAAGATTTTTTCGGTCAAATTAGACGAACACGTCTACTAAATTCTCATATAACCCAACGGTCACGAGACGACCTCCTAGATTTAGTAGACTAACTATACTAAACTCTCCGACGGCTTGTAATGTCATATAACCCAACGGTCACGCATACAATAACTGTCCTAGCTCTACCGTATCATTTGTTTCATTTCTTCTAGAACAATCACAAACACTTTTTTGATTATAGATCTACTACCAGAAACTCAATGCGTAATCTTAGCATTCAATGTGTATTCCTGAATAATCTCATTTTTCAATTATTCAACCATTTCATTTTACCAAGTTCAATGTTAGTCAGATTAGTCAACATTTCTATGTTTCGATGCAACAACAAGATGTTATTTGTAACAAGTAGTTTTGTTGGTTGGTTAATTGGTCACATTTTATTCATGAAATGGGTTGGATTGATATTAGTCTGGATACAGCAAAATAATTCTATTAGATCTAATAAGTACCTTGTGTCAGAATTCAGAAATTCTATGGCTCGAATCTTTAGTATTCTCTTATTTATTACCTGTGTCTACTATTTAGGCAGAATACCGTCACCCATTCTNCTACCGTATCTTTTGTTTCATTTCTTCTGGAACAATCACAAACACTTTTTTGATTATGGATCTACTACCAGAAACTCAATGCGTAATCTTAGCATTCAATGTGTATTCCTGAATAATCTCATTTTTCAATTATTCAACCATTTCATTTTACCAAGTTCAATGTTAGTCAGATTAGTCAACATTTCTACGTTTCGATGCAACAACAAGATGTTATTTGTAACAAGTAGACGACCTCCTAGATTTAGTAGACTAACAATACTCATATATAGCTCATAGCATAATTAACTCATACCTAGAGTCATAACATTTCTAGTTCACATGCTCACATCTTATGCATGCATCTATATATAATCAATTAACCACGTCATAAACACATATATTAAATAAACTCCTAATCACATAATCAACAAGCTCAGGTACATAAAAACAAGTTAGGAACTTGTTTATTAGCGTCGATATGCTACTTATTTAATAAGAAATGTTTGGGTTGAAAAACTTTACGATCTGAACAATTAAGTTGTGTCTAAAAAATGTTTTAATCTAACGCAACTCAACCCATGAACACCAAACTAAAGTGTCTATTAAAAAAAGGACTAAACATAATTTAATTAGCTAAAACATAAATTCTCGATCAAATTAATAATTTTTGAATCTTTATCATAATCGAACTTAAAAATATAATTGCTAATTTCGAATTTATTATTAAATTTAATTAATTATGACAAAAAAAAAAACATATTATATAAAGTAAAGACAAAGTTAATAATAATAATAATAAAAAGAATTAAGGGAAGTTATACTTATCTAGGAAGGAGTAATTTAAAAGCCAACTATTTTTTTTAATTAATTTGTGATATTATATAAACTCATTTTCCATGATTATAATTAAATTATATATTAAACGCTAATTTAGATCTCTTTTATTATGATTTTATTTTTTTTAGTTGTGATTTAAATATTAATATCAATAAAATTGTTAAAATATTAATTTACGAAAATGTCAATTAAAATATTAATAAAATGTCGAGATATTAGGCGAATATTTAATTCAATTATTAATTATGTTATTTAAATTAGAAGCGTGATGTTAGATTAAACTCAAACATCATCACATAAAAACAATATAATTTAAAGAGTGACAAATCCTATCATCAAACCGTCCCATAATTATTTTATATGAAAATTAAATTAAATTATAAAATTTCAACCAATCCTAAGTCAATGTACCATTCTACATACTTCAAAAAAAAACATGAATTCAACGTGATTCTCATGACTCCACTTCCCAATACTTCTCCAAACCTTTATTTAATACTTTATTATAATTTACTTTTTTTTTAATACCGTTTTGGAGCGTGGAATTGAACTGTCGACCTTTCGAGAAGTAATTGGTGCTATACTCGGGTTGACTATCATTATCTGATCAAATTATAAACTTAGTCTTCTTTCAATAATTTCATCGTTTAAGAAAGTATAATTATATTTATCGTTATTTTTAATCGGATTGTATGTCTAAAACTTAGATGGTATAATCGTGTCCTTGAGCTCTAAACAACCTAAGGTTGAAATTGGAACTAGAAGCTTATTTCGTTAAAATTGAGGACGTTTTCGAAAAAATGTTGTGCTTAGGAAAGTATGTGTATAAATAGTTTTTGTGTTCTTTGTAGAGATGCCACTTAGCAGGATGAGGATGGAGACAATGAATATAACCCTGTTTAGCCAACACGGAGAAAACTCTCTTTGTCCTCTATTTAAACGGGGATTTTCTACCTCATTTGAAGCGGATCTTGAGTTAAATTTTGTGGGTTAAATAGATATTTCGAATTAAATTGAGTAAGAAATATGAACGTTAGTTGGATAAAAACGATAAAAATTATAATTGAAAAAACACGATTGAATTAAAACAAAATTAATTAGCTAATTTGTATTGAAATTCATCATTTTATATGGTTTAAGAGAATTTGTCAAATCAATGTATGGGATTAGTGCAAAACAAGGGGTGCGAGGTTGTATTAGAAGACCTTTAGCACAAAAAGGATAATTTTTTTTTTCTTATAAAAGGTCAACCAAAGCTAGGTCGCCTTAACTTCCTTATTATGAATTCATCTATTATTATTATTGTTGTTATAGTTAAGTTAAAAATAAATAAATAAAATCCTAAGGTTGGCTTCTTGGATTCGATTTAATTAAGATTAGAACAGTTATGTTCGCTCATTAATAGGCTATGTTAAACCTAAGAACGATTAATGTTTAGCTTTTTATAATCGTCTGTTGAGGAGGCTACAGAATAAAGCCATAAACTATTTACACGGTATTTTAGTAACATGTAATCTAAGTCCTAAATTTTAAATTTTGATACTAAAAATATATTGAGATTAGTGATTTCACTTTTAGAACACTTTGTTGGGTATTTTTTTTGTTGTTCGGTATATTTTGCATGATTGTTTGTAAAATAGTCATGTATTATGTGAAAATCATTAATGTTGTGTGATGGAAAGTATGTATGTATGTCCCTAAAACGATTATGTTGATGAACAAAAAAATTTCTGTCGCATCATGTTATTAAACTATATTGTGTACATGCATATGTTGCCATAAAATTTGACTTCCCGAAAGAGATGTATGTCCAAAGGCTTTAGATACATGAAAGTAATGTACGTATGTGTATGAAAGTGATGCATATCTATATCGAAAGTGATACATACTTGGAGAGGCCTAAAGTACATAAAATTGGTGTATGTCTAAAGTATTTGGTCTATACAAAAGTATTGTATGTGAAATTATGCATATGAAAGTGATGTATCTCTTGTGTTGAAAGACCTTCCTATCGTGCATAACGTGACATTAACATTCCCAAGCTAATTATGTTCTAGAAATTAGGTCATTATCTGAGACCTTTAACGAGATACTTTATATAAACTATATAACTTTATCTCGATTAAATTATAAAAAAAATGTTTGGTTATGTTCAACATTACGTTGTTTCACACTTAAATTCGATGTTTCAAATTAAAAATAGTTCTATTAACATACATTACGAGTAATGATTCATTAAGTTCGATTTCTTACCTCATATTTGTTGAAATTTCCATGTTCGTGTAAAATTCAACATCCACCCAATGATAATCATCACAAACAGACCTAAAAGGCAAACAAGTCATATCAGCCAATAGCTTTTCAATGAGATTCCAATACCAAACTCAAGATGAAGAGAACTAAAACAATTAAAAGTCTAATCAATAAATTTAGAAATAAATATAACTAAAAAGAAATGAAAGTCCAACCAATAGCAACACTTGCTATCTTAATTATCCATTCTAATTTCTATATAATAATAATAATAATAATAATAATAAAAGACAACGTGGACTAAATATAGCTGCAAAAGGTAGCAAGCAAGCAACTTTCATTCCGAAAGAAAAGTAAAATAGGAGGATATTATTCTTTATAAATATTATATGCAAAAATAAGTACTTGCATTTACTTTTAAGAAAACAAACAAAAAATAAATAGTTTCTTCCATCTCAATGGAAGACTATGAAATCATATACTTTACTTACATTAAACAAATATATCTATATGTCGTCATGCATGATAATAATAATAATAAACTAATCATTGAACCCCATGTTTTGTTTTGAGTTTCTTCTCCTATTTTAGTTTTATTTCAACACATAAACTGAGATGCTGATTAGATGATCAAGGAGGGCCATAAAGTATCTGGGAAAGAAGACAGAATCTTCTGTCCCAAATGGCTAAAAGTTTCATTTTCTTCAATATCTCTCTTCTTTGGTGGTGAATCTGCTTGTTTTCCTTGTATGACAGCTGATTCAAACCCAGAAACTTTCACTGTATGGATGAAGTCCCTTATCATGCAAGGAAATGGGCTTACTGTTTTCAATGGGAATGGTCAGATTGTTTATCGAATAGACAACTATGATGAAAAGAGTAGCAGGGAAGTCTTTTTGATGGATCTCAGAGGGAAACTTCTCTTTACGCTGCGTCAAAAGGTGGGTTTCGATGAACAAGGACTGGATATTCTGGTGTAGCTTTGATGCATTGCTTATTGTCATTGGTTATTTTTGGTTTCCTTTGGCAGAGAATCTGGTTTCTATGTGATTGGGAAGGATATAAGGATGGTGGTGTAAATAC